GGGGGGGGGGGGGGGGAGGAAGATGGTGGGGGATGATTGGAAGGTTACGGGTGCGTATTCATTCATAGCGTACCTTGTCGAATGCAGCTCGCATGTGGAGAGTACCTAGGTACTAGAAGCGAACGTGAGCCTTCGGGCTGTCACCCATATGGCGATCCGTGATACATAGACCCCGTAGGTAAACTGCTCCGATTGATCTTCCACATATTCCCTTTCCCTCTCTCGATTACACGTATTCAATCTGTTCACCTTTTTTTATACACGAACCTGCGCTATTAGACCCCTGCTCGGTTTGATGCAAAATTAAAAACTGTTCAAGAACGAGCTAAAATTTTGATAATCTCGATACGCGAAAAAAAAATTAAATAAAATTACGATGTACAGAATGACTTGTTGCTATTTTTGTCGATAACTATATGTTTTGTTAATATATCTATATTAATGTGAGAGTTCTAATCTTGCTGTTCATCTTGAATTAAATAAAATTTAATAAAATCTTTTAATTTTTAATATTAAATATAATAATCCATATTGAATTATTACAAAATCACAAACTTGTAGAAGAATCATTGTTAATAAGACAAATGAAATATTCTTATATATATATATATATATATAAAATACGAGATGTCCCAGATTTACGGAGCCGGTTTATTTATCTACACGGATTTTTTGATCGATCTAGTATCAAACTTTATATAAAACAATTTCGATATCATTCTCTCCTTTTCCATCCTCCCTCCTTCCCTTTCTTTCTCTTTCTCTAATAGTTAATATCCAAACGCTATGATTACCCATGAGGCACATGTGCCTCATGAGTGTGTACACAAGAATAGTCACATGTGTTTCACGAGTAGTGAACGGGTTAAGCTATTATTCTATATAGAAAAAGAAAAGACAACTGTCTCATACCTATTCCACACAATTCTGCACATTGAGATAATACTTTCAACGAATATTTTCTCGCATTCAAAGAAGCTTTAAACGAGAAAAATCACGAATCTTCAGATTTAGTTCCGTGAATCATTGATCTTTCTTTGTTGTCAGTGACTTCCACAGGCACGCGACATGTGTTACAAGATAATGAACCAAGGTAAAGAAAGAAGAAAGCTGGAGTGGGAGATAGAAAGACGAAGTCAACAACAAAGACATCGCGCATTATCAGAGACAATACTATATTCTGTACACACGTACATACGCACCGAGTGCGCATTCTCGGCGGGATGTACTTGAAACTTTGAAGAATTTTATATATACAAACGCGATGGAGGGAATATATTTTAATCTTTGAAGAACTTTAAACCACAAAGTGCGTATCGCGGAGCGATTCATCTCCGTGTGAAAACACGGGGAGATTGTCATACCTACAATTGCTGATTCATGCGGCTGTTGTCTCTCGTAAAAAAGGGGAAAAACCGAAAGAAACAAGAGAAGAGAGAGAGAGAGAGAGAGAGAGAAAGACTGAGCTCGGAATCGAAGAAAGAAAATAGATAAAATAATAGAGCCGGAGCGAATGAAGAAGTAACGAAGAGAGAAAGAGAGAGAGAGAGAGAACCGGATGAGAATGGGCTAAAGAAGGGAAAAGAAATACGCAGAGAAATGCGTGCAATCGTTCGTATAGTCTCGGAGCCTCGATTCTCCACACGACGAAGATAAAGAAACACAGTTGCGAATCACGCTGCGGTGGCGCCTAATGGGCGGCAACAAAAAGGGACACAGAGTGGCCACCGCGGCACCGATCGGGGGGAATTTCCCTCTGCCGCATGACACCGGGTGCCGGCGAAGAGGGAGATCTCCCCCCCACTCCATGCCGCACCCTGCTTCTCCTACCAAGCTCGGTTCGCTTCGAGCGTGCTCGGTGATCTCCGCATCGCGTCTGGACCACGATGTGCCGAAGATCAGGACAGTGCTGTAGCGTTCGCGAATATCACGGAGGTGGATATGAGATAAATACAAAAAAAAATATGCTGATATATATGTACCCACATATCTATATAAAGAGAGAGAGAAAGAGAGTCTTAGAAAAAATATTATGAGTTACTCTATTAATATTAATAATTATTATACTAACATTATATTAATCAACATCACAAATCATGTGAAAATCAGGCTTGCAAATCTCTTAATAGTTATTTTTGTAATAATGTTGACGTTAATTTTAATTAATTCTTTTTTATTTACATAATTAATATAGTTCATAATTTACATATAATAGTGTTTCTATTTTTAATCTTATAAAAGAACGAAGGATAAATGTTACATTTCAATGAATTTTTGCTAATGTTTCGGAAAGTTTCACGATAACTATATTAATTATATGTATTACGTTTATATATCCTCCTCT